TACAAGATAGGTAGGCTCAGCATTTAAGAGGCAAGTGAAATGGCCGAGCTATTTTCAATAGCAACAAGGGTTCAGAAGGAAGGATGGAGGACCTCCTCCACGACTCCTTTCAAAAGACTTTTCAATGGAACGCCAAAGACAAACTGCAAAGCGCCAAAAATGTACCGAAAGCTAATATCATACCTTACTACGAAGCGCCTCGAACTAAAGCACGCCACGCCACGGCACCAGAAATCACACAGATCACCGCACACCGATTCCATCCGATTACTAGAAACCACGGCCACAACACACTATAGGCAAAGCGCAAGTTGCCAGTCAGAACCCAGAACAAGCTTTCTAGCTGGACGGGAAGAATCCCCAAGCATAGATCACGATCCAAGCTCATCAACACCAGCATAAGTGTCATTGTCATATGTATATATATATATATGTGTGTGTATATAGCTGCGGTAAGTCAACTGAAAGAATCCAAAAGAGCCCGTTCGAAGCCAAAATTCCTTGCATTGGTTGACACTGTTGACACCCTCGGAGTGCTAGTGTGTGATGGATTTTGTCTTTTGATCAGCCCGATGCTTCTAGGATTACCGGCAGGGTGACTTTACGAAGCTGGTCCCGGATGTATTTGCCACGGACTGATCGTTGCTGTTTTGTCAAACTTTGCTTCATTTCCTCCTTTTGCCAAAGATCCATCTCTTCCTTGAAAGGAGTCGTTGGATGCTGTCTATTACATTGAGTCCTCATGTCACATCGCGAACCGTACGGAGACTTGAATATTCTTGAAATCAGAGAGCCCGAATTGTTCTTTCCGGGCTCGCTCATTGAACTAGAGTCACAACCGGTCATGACATGTCTTCAGGATTCGAGTGAGCCTTAGATCCGCAGGTGTGGGTGGCGCAAGCCTTGTTGAGGAAAAAGGTGCGATTCGCATGGCCGTTCGATTCTCCGTGTGCCCGGGACCGTTCTTCATGGCTAGCGGAGCTCTTCCTGGTTCGGATCCTGGCCGGGATTTGAACACTCGCTTGGGTGCTTTGATGCCTGAAGAGCAATCAGCTTTGGTTGGGAGATCCTGCACCCTTCGAGGGCTTCAGCGTGGCTTGCAAGTGGTGCGGGAAGAGCTTGAATCGGAGTCGGAGCGCACGCAGGCAGCGCAGCTGAAGAGCTGCTTGGCCGCCACTGGAGGGCAGCGCACAAGTGGCTCTTCTCCGTGCATGGTCCGACAGGAAGGTCGGGACACCTTGCTGCAAGGAATCTGGAAATCTGATGCACGGTGCCGGCGGTGAGTCCAATCTGACGCGGTCCTCCAAATTCCGGGCAATTGCTGGACAGTCGGGGAGACGCTGTCGCTCTTTGAAGATGAGCTGAGAGGTTTTCGACGGTTGATGGCAGCTCACCTTGCGAGACAGGAGAAGTAGAACATCCTGACACAGACTAGCAACGCACAGTTTGCAACGACTCGCCCCACACTGCGTACACTGTTAGAGGTCTTTGGTCAGCTGAAGACGACTACTGTATGAGGGTGATGACTATACTGGCCTGAACAGGAAGCATGGTGGGCCGATTCCTCATGCGATTCCTCATCAGGTTGGCGTGACGGTTTTTGGGCTTCGCATGTGCATGCTGAAGAGCTCATCCAAGATGACAACAGTGAGCCTGATCACGCAGAGAGCGGCCAGAGGCTCCTGTGACCCCTCAGAGCAATAACGCCGTAAAGGGTTTGACTTCGTCTCCATCATTTTCGCCGCCCAAGGGAAAGAGCTCTGGTGGTGGAGCAGCCTTAGTGTGTGGCCTCGAGGGCCACACCTATGCACAGTGTCTGCAAAAGGCAAGCCAAAGTGCAAGAGTAAACCTGGAAATTGGCTCACCCCAAGCGATGTGACAAGTGCCTTCCTTCAGGCATCACGCTCAGTCATTGGCAGGAGAAGATCTTCATGTTTGCGCCAAGTGAATTGGCAACTCTCTTTGGCGCCTGTCCGGCCAATCCAGTGACCGGTGCACCGGGCCTGTCCTGGTTTGCAGTCGCCAGGGTTGCGGTGTGAGTGTGTGTGCGCGCGCGCAGCCTGCGCAGCACTTTGGCTTCGTGGATAGTCAAAGTTGATTCTCCAGTCCAGAGGGCGCATCCTGAGGAACGATGTCCTGGAAGGCGAGCCTGCTATGCCACGTAGCAGACGTAGCAAATGAAGAGGGATTCACCCCAGGCCTTTGGTTTCCAGCTTGGGTGTTGAGACTTCAGAGCTGTCTGTGATCACATGGTCGGACGTTTCAAAGCAAAACCGACCGGACAAGTCGCCAACGCTGAGTTCACTCACAGCCCCTTGTCCCCGATGAAATTGGACTGCGTGAATGGAGAAGAGATTGCAATCGCAGTGCTCAAGTGGTAGTCTTCCCCCGCCCCCAGGAATGTTTGGGACGGGGCGAACGGTGCAGAAGCACAGGCTCCCCAGGCTCGTCGTGTTGGAACCAACTTCTGGTGGGTTTGCGCCAAAGGTGGAGTTTGGCGCCTGACCCATATACCTTCAGCTGTTTGCAAGAGACTTAGTCAGGCGATGTTCTTTCCGAACTCATTGAACTATGTCTGAGAGTTCTGAACTAGAGCCACCACCACCGGTCATGACATGTTTTCAGGATTCGTGCGGGTCTTAGATCCGGAGGTCGCGAACGTTGTTTGAGGACAACGGTGCGATTCGCCGTGCCCTTCGATTCCCATGTGCTGGGGACCGTTGTGCGTGCGTTGAGTTCTACACGAATGAACTCAAATCGGTGAGTTTCCTTGTCCGACTCAGAGGCTTGTGCCCACTTTGACACTGCAACTGCACCTCAGGAAGTTTTTCAGGCGTCCGCAAAGGCTTTGAAGAAGGGAGCCAAGCTGTTCTCCTACGAGTGGCCAAGTTGCATTCGGCTTGGCGTGAACGTCTTCCAATGGTAGTCTGCCTGGACAACAAAGCACAACATGTTTTGTCCATGTTTGCTTTGTGCAACTTGTTTTCCCAACACTCCAAGTTATGCAGCCACATCTACATCAGGTGGGTAATGACAGACCGATTTGACCCAGCAAATCCTGAGCATGTCGCGATCAAGAAGGGGATCGAAATTGGTGATGGAATCGAGGCAGGCTTGCAAGCTTCTACATGGCACCATTTCTTAAAGCGTGGAATGAAACAGTTGGAACATGTTATCAAGAAACGTCCCCAGAGGACCTTGTTGGGATCCAAGTTCCTCTCGAAGCTCTCAGAAAGAGTGGTTTCCGCATTCTGGAGCATGGTAGCTTGGTTGGCTGTTGACGGTCCCGGTGCCAAATCTGAGGACATCATCAAGAGGTAGGGAGGGTTGCAGGACCAAGGGAACGTTTTTGACGGACATGTTGCGTCAAAACCTCATCCAACATGTCGTTCATGTTTCATAATGTCCCTGGCATTAGCTAAAGGTTGATCAGAAATGATTGTGTTCAAACAACTGTTGTGAGAGCTCGGCTTGTTTGGGGCGTGTCGTCCAGGGCCTTGCCTGACATGTGGCCTGCCCCGGCCAATGTTTTGATCGTTCTTCTAGGCAACTCTGTTTGTTTGTGAGTGAAAAGTCCGGCAGACTACTTTTGGGATCCTGTTGCTGTTGTTAGCCAGCCGGTGGCATCGTCATCACTTGTAGCCTGCCCAGTCAGTGGGGAACCTTTGACCTTTTTTACTGATTGGTTTCCCCACTAAACAAGTCAGGTGGGAAAAGGTTAGCCCAAAGTTCGAGCGTCGATCCAGCCGGACGCACAAACCGAGACTTCGCCACATATACCATGGCTCAAGGGTGGCCCGAGAAAGGGTTGGGAAGGTCGAGACATCGTGCAGGTGTTCACAGCTTTTTGGTTAGTACCAAACTGTAGTTACGCTTCATAGATGATGGTGGTGGTGGTGGTGGTGGCGGCGGTGGTGGTGGGGATTGTTGTTGCTGTCGTTGTTAGGTGCTCCTGCTCCTGCTCCTGCTGCTGCTCCTGCTGCTGCTGCTCCTGCTGCTGCTGCTGCTGGTGTTCACATAATGATGTCACGAATCATCCTTTACTGCAACTTTGGACTTGTTTTTTTATCTAAATCGTATTTGCTACATCCAGTTTATTGCTTACTCATGGATCCACCCAGTGCAGACTGAGGTGACCTCGTAGAGTTGGCAGAGGAGCTGTGGTGTTGCATGTGTCCATGATGGGCACATACTACCTTTTGCATTGTGTTGCTTTCCGAGAGAGCAGGAGTGGTATGGTGACCACAATGTCCCATGGTATTTCGACATGGTTCTGCCCTCATCGTTCTCAGGGCGTTCGTTCCGGTCGAAAGTTGAGCATCTTCCTTGCAGAGGCTCAGAAGTACTCCTTCTCGTCATTTAGATCTTTTGCGCTGTCGGACTTTGGACAGCGAGCGTTGGGCACCTTTCTATGGATGGCTGGCCAGGCTTGGACTGGAATAACGTGATGTCGACATTTCTTGCATGTTCCTGACGTGTCAGGTTGGCTTGGTGCCTGAAGAAGCTTCAAGGACAGAGCAGATGCTGCGCCAAGCAAGTATCAATTTGGTAAAAGGAGGTGTCTGGGCTGACTTTTGAGAATCACTCTGTTCACGTTACAGCCGCTGCACATTCAGCACTCAGGTGAGCTCAAAATTTTCACGCCAATGTATTACGTGTTGGCTGAAAAAATGTAAAGCCTGAATGTGTTGGTTGCCACCAGCAAAAACTGGGGCGGAATTCGAAGCCAGAGCAAGCAGATCCACGCAGCTCTTACAGTTTAAGCGCGGCGAGCGATTGCAGCGCAGTGCCGGAGCGTCGAAGCGTTGTGGCCAACATGTTTTTGCCAGAAGTGCACCATTTTCCGTCTCAATCTCAAAGTCTCCACACACGCCACCGGGTCTTAGTTGGAAACAGCTGCTTTAGATGGGCTACGGGCTGCGGTATGCTTGACAGCTTGACACTCGCTCTTAACACAACGATTTTGCCGGTGCACTGATTGCACTGCGCGGGTTGCACAGGTATTGCCACAGATGTGCTTCATTGCACATCCACAATTGTAAGGCACTCAGTTGTTCCCAAAATCGATTAGTTTCCAGGGGTTGATACATATATATATATATATATATTTATACATAAATGCCTCATCCTGTGACATCCTGTGATACAGTTTCCATGCTGCTGGTTGTAATGGTTCACTAGTCTTCTTGACTCTACTATCCTTGCATTGCTGAAGCTGCTCAAAGGGTAGAAATACTTAAATATTTGCCAAGGGCTTGCTGACTGTGATGAGGCTTTGCCGCAGCAAGAGAGTACAGCAGCACTCTACAAATCTCTTCCAAAGCAAACTACCTCGCCAGCAAGTCCTTGTATTCGGATACCCCCATGGCCGCTTGCTCGAGAAGTGCATGGCCCGTGGCCTCTACAGCCTCTAGCTTCTTAATCCTTATCACTGGGGCCCTTTTGGCTTCGAATTTCGTTCTCCCACCGCTTCCGTTTCAAAGATTGGTGGCCCATCGCACTGCCAGAGCGGCAAGCAGAGGCTTTTTGTTGTTCAATGCTGAGGAGAACCAGAAGGAAAAGTTTATGCTTGCCAAGCTTTTTGACTTGATAAACGAACTGCCCAAAGAATTTGCAGCACTGGATTGGCAACCACCAGATTCAAGAGGAACAAGGTATTTCAATGCCATGGATAACAAGTGCGTGCAGTATTTTGCAGCTGGGAGAGAGGAATCCTGGTCTGACGCGCTTAAGAATAACTTTAGATCCCGGGGCTCTGGAGACTTGGAACGCATAGTTGAAGCTTCAGTTTTGAGTCAAAAAGGTCAAGGAAGCACTTATGATGGGACGCAGGGCTTCCCCCCCATGTTGAGGATTCCCATGCGCACTGATTGAGACCCTCAGGCGATACATCAGTTCCGCTTTCTTTTGTGGAGTTTGTGGGTGAACGCTTGCCTTTGGAGAAGGGCTCGGTGGATGTTGCCCTGCTGCAGCCCGGTGCCGCAGACGGTTTGGGACCAAGAGTCTTCCGGCAGATCTTTAGAGAGACATCCCGCGTTTTGAAGCCTAAAAGCCGATTCTTGGTCTTCATCGATGCATCAACCAAACTGCCAGCCACTGGGGCGAATTATTTTGACATCGAACGCCGCTTCAAGAGAGACACAACTAGATGCTATCGGCTGATCAGAAAGCCACGATTGAGACCGAGTTCGATACGAGCTGGGGCACAGGCTGAAAAGGAAGTGGTTCGCAAAGAGCCAAAACTTAAGCGGCCCAAACCGCTCTCCGTAAGTGAGCTTGAAAGCGCTCTAGCAGACGAGGAATGATCATGAATGATTGATCATTCGTTGAGAGAAGAACAGTGTCAAGAAGTAGCAAGTTAAAAGTTGCACGTTCCAGAATATCATGGGTGCACCAATTCCGTGGTGTATCGATTTTTGTTGTTTGCCTTGTTGCCCTGCCCAATGCTGGTGACGTGGTCGCTCAAGGCACCGCTACTACACAGAGTTTCACCCAGCGATCAACTGGCTGATCAAGTTCGGAGCTTTGTGTCATTCTTGCTCGAATGCAGTAGAATTGTGAAAGCTGTATAAACCATGAACGTGCTGTTCACTTGCCTTTTTAAGGCCGGAGCGGGGTGCATGAATGAAAGGCAGCAGTTCTAGATTTCCTGTACGGGGTGATTAAGGCCGAAGGATTCCAGGAGGGTAATGTTAACATCTCATTAGTAAACCCCCCCTTGTCCCCCTATGAAAATACATATTCATTTTTTTTCGGGGTAGTCAAAACTCTGAACCTTAATTAATAGAACACTTCCAGGCCATTTGGCAGAGGGGATAATGCTAGTATTAGTATTATTACTATTATTATTAGTAGTAGCTAGTACTAGTACTAGTAGTAGCAGTAGCAGTAGTAGTAGTTTGCTTTCATTCTGCTTTCATTTTGCTTATTTCTTCTTTCATTCTGCTTTCATTTGCTTGCATTTGCTTTCATTCTGCTTTCAGAAAGAAGAAGAAGAAGAGAGACTGGAGGAGGGAGTCTAAAGGGGTACCCTTTGAGGATTTGTTTGTATTTGTTTGATAAAAAAGGAAACCTAACCTAAAACTTTTGGCTAGCCAGTGTTTTTGGAAATCTGATGGACAACCACAAAATAAGAAAAAGAAAGAACATAATATAGAAGAACTTTAGCCAATGTTTTTGGACATCTGATGGGCAAAGACTAAAATAAAGATTCCACAGAAGAAAGAAAAGAAGAAGAAGATAGGAGTTGATGTTTCCCACTGGTGTTCTCTTAGTGAACCTGAGATTTCTGAGACACAATGGCATTCTGAAAGCAAATTCTATCAGTTTTGGGGTCTGGATGTTGGCGCAATCAAAAGTAGTACTGCAAAATCCTGGCAGGCAAAAAGCTGAACATTATTGAGGAATAGTTCATTACTGGGATGTTCACATTATATATCAAGGATGGCGATCGCATTCCTTCATACTCGTACCACTCACAAACACTTCATGAACAACATCTACTGTATGTCTTGAACCTCGTGTTACAAGCCTTAGAAGACCTCGTCATACTTGACCATCAATTAAGTGTCTCGTGCAAGGATTGTTGCTGCGGTGAGTTTTTCAAGAGACTTCCAATCGAGAAGTGTACCAAGTCCGCTTAGGGTTCATGAGAGGTGTACCTAGAACATTTTGAGGTGCACAAATCGAGAGTGTACCAAGCGTGAGACTTGAAAGGTCTAGCACAAATCGAGAAGTATACCTACCAAAGCCCTTTTTCACTGAGGAAGAAAAGGTCTGCTCGGTGCGGACACGCGGGTTATGAGCCCAAAGCTTTTGTTGGGCCGGTAAGTCCACCTAGGACCACAGGGTGTGTGGCCTAGTTGCTGGCCGCCATGTCGCGGAGTGGTGCAGCCGGCGAATCCCCGGGCGAGGCATCCTCCATGGAGAGCGCGAAGGAAGATGCAGGCCATTTGGCCTTGGAGGATGTCCCTCGCGACGCTGGAGTCATGGTGGTGGCCTCGAGGGATTTGGCACCCGCTTGGACCTCCAGTTTCCTACGGGCCTCACCGATGTGACGAGTCCCGGAAGAAGGATGCCGCCCCGCTGGTAAATCCCGCAATCTACGAAGGACGAAGCCATGTTGAGGGCAATGCGACCTACATCCTTGCCACAGAGTTCGGCACCTTCTGGGGGTGAGGTGATCCAGGAGGTGGGGATGGACTTGCAATTTCGATCTCGCGGACCTCAAGGTGAAGTTTGATAACTCCGAGAAGGAGAGAGTGCGTCGGGATTTCAAGGAGAGTGGAGTTCCGAAGCCGCCAACGACGACACCTCCGCCGAGCCCTCCGAGGTCCGCCACCGGCCACCTCGGAGAAGGTGACTGGTGATGCTTGGCTTGGAGCGACTCCGGAGTTTCCGGGTGAGGGGGCGGATAGTCAGGGAGATTGACAGCGTTCGGGAGATTGCCACCCCGGCGATCGTCGAGCCCCTCGAGTACCAGAGTCATGGATGGGCGGCGTGGGAGCTCTTCGTCCTGGAGCCCCTCAAGCCCAGGGGCATATCATAAGGAAAAACCATGATAGAGCCGAGCCATATCAGGCAGATAGCCCCTACCCCCAAGATCCCCCCAGACAATTTTCATCAATTTTCAACAATATTGAACACACATTTCAATTTCCAAAATTGGTCCGGAGCATGACAAAGCATCCATTTTCTCTCCGAATGCAAGCACATCATCTATGTACACCTGGCACGCTCAACGTTGTCACCTCAAACAACAAAAGTTCACGAATTGACATAACGCAACTCTCTGAGGCCCGGGCAAAGAACACACACACATTTTGTTGAACGTGCGGCGTGGTTTACATGTTTGTGTTTAAAAACTTGAACATGTTTCATGATTGTTTCACATGTCATGTATGTCTAGCATATGTTGTGTTAGCTTAACATGTAATTTTGTTGAACATGTCACATGTTACATGTTGCATGTATTTTGTTTGAGCATGCTTTGCATGCGTGTCCATTTGTTTGTTTGTTTGTTTAACGTGGTTCACATGTTTTTCGTGCATGTTATGTTTTTTAAAGGTACGTGTTGTGCAACAGGAAAAACTAAGGCCCAGACGCAGCTCCTGTAGTGATGTTTTTAATCCTCTCATGCAACCCAACACAGCCATGAAATTTCAACAAACCATGCACTGAAACAATCAGTCCTGCAGTGTACCTAGTCAGCACCGCCACATGCGTTGTTCTTGCGTGTGTCTTCTTGGCAAGCCTCATATTGGACTTGATCCAATCTTCATCCATGAAACACCACGTGGTCCTTGGATTTTTCTTGCGATGCCCTTGGTCCACCAAATGGGCGATTAAGTGGAACTTTGGCCGAGGGTTCCACAGGTGGTAGCAGCAAAAGGATTGAAATTTATCACGCAATCGCAAATACGTAGTCAGAAACAAATTGCCAACCACAAACAATTGCTTCAATTGGTCTTCAGTGAACATCACACCACTGCACGCAATCAATCCAGCAATGTTGTTGGCTGCCCACACACATGTCTTGACGTCTGCATCTACTTGCGGAAGGTCATGTGTTTGCAAAAACCAATCCAAATACTCCATGATGAGTCCAGTTTGCCATGCCTTGCTGAAGTGCACGTATTTGCTGCTTTTCAGATTGAGTTTAGTCTTTGACATTTGCCATCGGTTTGGAAACCTTCTGGTTCCATGGGTCTTGGCCCATGTCTTGATGAGCACTGAGGCGTGTCTCATTCTGGCTTCCACCTGGCCAAAAAAAAACATACCGTAATACCAAATGTTCACATCTTCCCAAAAAACTGTTCAAACATGACAGACTGACATTGCCACCAACAAAGATTCCCCGGGTTCTCAGCATCACAACAAAGACACTTGCCACAACATCACGAGCAAGTCCTAAGTGAAAACAATGCATCCAATCAATGCTAACCTTTTTCATGTTAAAATGACCAAGTTCCGCAATCGATGGCTTGCGGAAATGTACTTCTGATGGGTCATGTTTTGACCGCCGTGCAGCGCCAGCAGAAAGGTCCGTATAAGCAAATTGGATGTTTTTGTTGGCAGGGCACTGCCAACAAATTTGGTCAGTGCCAGCATGACATCTCAAATTCAGCGATTGTGTCAACCATTTCCAATCACCCTTCAAAGCCACAAATTCACCACGCAATCCACAAATGGGTGTGGAAGACCAACTGTCAAGAGATTCCACAATGCAACGAAGAGCTGCCTGGAGCGTCTCATTGATCTTACCTTTTCGGTGATTTGGAGCCGGACTCATCAAGTACAATGGCACTGGCAAGAGACAGATCAGAAAACGCGAGCATGGACTCAAAGTGGCAAATGGTGAGTTTTCTTGAAGACCATGCTATGCACATGTAGCTCAGACCATCAAAAATAGTTGCCTCGTCTCCATAGACTTGAACCCCTATGCAATCATCTGTATTGTTCACTCTTGTGTGGTCAAAGTGCTCACAGAGAACATCCCAATAGTTTTGGTCTGCAAAGCCCAATACATCACGGTACCCGGACTTCAGCAAAGTTTCTACCTTAGCGACCAAACAATCACTGGTGCAAGAGCATACAATGAATCACACATGAGCCACAAACCATTCGATGAGGCAGAATCATAGGCCAATTGCGGATTTCCACCTGGCCATCTTCATTCTGAATGGGTAACTGGTGCCACGAAATAATATCACGGAAAGCCAAGCCAGTGCTCATCAGCTTTTGATGGGTTCCTTCATCCTTTCTCATTGTTTTCCTTAACCCAATGCAGGCGTCCATAGCAAACTGAGTGCAACACATATTGCACTGGCGCCAAGGCACGGAAACATATCCGAGTCATAGACATGGCCAGGACGGGCAGCTGAAGCCAGACTAGTTGAGCCTTGGCCTACTTCTGCTGCCAGCCTGCAGAAATTTATATACATTGTGAGTTAGTCCAGTGACAGTGAATGAGCCTGCCTTTGATCCAGAGCTTGTCTCAAGGCTGCTGCTGGGTTCGTACCTGACCAGGAGAAAAGATAGCGCACATCCAAAATAGTGACATGACATGACCTGCCAAACTCAAAAATCTGACATGACATGGCATGACAGCAAGGACTTTTTCCTGCTTTCTGCATGTCATGAGTCTCATGCTTGCAAAGCTTGCACATGAACATGCATGTCATGAACCCATTCTTTCATGGGCACTCGGCTTCTAGTCCTATGCCCACCCCGCCAAAATCCGTTCAGCCCTGCGCAGCTCTCTCACGAAGAGTACCCCTGGGCACAACACAGACTATCATCAGCAAAATTCAATTTCTCACGTGAGCCCAAAATATGCCAGCAATACTTCTTGTACTCACGGAAGGCAGCTGACATCTCAGCTCGCTTCATGCGGCTGTCTGTTGCCTCATGGCAAAGCAAAATCACAAAGCAAATTTTGACACAAACACTTTAGGTCCCAGCTCTTGATGCAATCTTCTGTCAAACTGGCCAGCAGAACCAAAAACACATGAAT